GAGAGACATGCAGCAAAGGACAACAGGTCAGATTCAAACCCAGGTTGGTCGCGTCGAGGACTAAGGCCTCCGTACATGGGTCATGCACGCTAACCACTGCACCACCTGCACGCCCATTGATGCAGCTAAGTACCGGCTGACACAACCATGCTGTGATGCCTCATTTAAAACAGTTTAGAGGATAGGGCTTAAAAACACTGCTAACACATGTACTAACATGTCTATCAGTTTTGCAGCAATGTCAGAATGCTTCCTTAGGTTTAGCTCCAACTTCAGTGAATTGCAGCGGTCATACCGTTTTCTTAGCATCTTGCTGCTTTAACACTTGATTTTGGACTTATTTTTTCCCTACTGCAGTGGGAATTCTGCACCTCCTTGCTTCCATTGCTTTGGCCTGTTGACCAACTGGACCAACGCAGTGACATATTCCAAGTCACATGATAATGTAATCATAAATATACACAGAAAGGCTTTTTTTTTTTTTTTTACAAACAAATTAAGTAAAGAATGACAAATACTACACCAGGAAGCTGTAATTTGTCTTAAAAAAGCTGTATGCAACTAATAACTTACCGGCGTACACATTTTAAAAATGTCAAATGACGTGACTACGTACATTTAAAGACTGATAAGTATTTATTTGATTAGTTCTTACCCATTCTGAATTGCATATATATCAGCACAAATGTTACTTTTTGACAGCTTTCTGCCTACTTCATTTTGTCAGACAGTTTGTTTAGATGTTCTCTTAATTTTGCAGGTCTGGCAGTGATCAGGCCTGGGTATGGCCAGTAAAACTAAACATTTATACATGACAAAAAAAAAGTGGAAACCTCTGAGGGAGTGAAAGTGCTTTACTTTCTCTCCCTCTTGTCACTTTTACCCTGACAAGACTATTAAGACGGCTGTTACCTCCATGCCTGTCTTTGGGTCAAGGTCTTCCTCACTTTCTGACTCATCTGAAGTTTGCAGGTCCTGGTGAACAGCAGAGAAACCAGACATAAAGACTGTGTAAGAAAAGGTTAATCAGATTGAAGTCACCAACAAATCAAGGAAAGCAGAAAAGAGCCAAACATGATGTAGTTGGTCTGAGTTGGTTAAATCTAAATGTAGAATGAGATCTGGGACAGAAATGTGGATGTTAATGTGAGGAAAGGTTGTTCTCCAAATATCAGTTTTCACAGTGAATCAACATCAGAGTTTTGAGGCTTAATTAGTGTAATTGTTCAGAGAGGATCAAGATTAATAACAATCTTTCTTCCGTTAGCTGACTGGACTTCATTTCGGATCGGTTGTTTGAGGTCTTCACTCACTTAACTGTTTATCATTATGGTGATGTTGAACCATATAAATATTTTGCATTAAGAAATAACTTTTCTCACTTCCTCCTACTGAAAACCCAATCCGTTTCATTCAACAACAAAAACGTGACTGTTGAAGGTTCAACGTGATTTGATCTTCATGGAAAACTTTATCAAATGATGATCTTAGAACAGAACATTTGCTCAAACCTGAACTGAAGCATAAAAAACTTTTATTAATGCAAAAATTGGAGGAGAAATAAGAGAAAAAAAGTAACTTTGGATTGTTGTCTGCAGTTCAATGCAGTGAGGAATGCTCAGATCTTTATACTGGAGAAACCAAACAACCTCTTCACAGACGCATGGACCAACACAGAAGAGCAACCTCCTCGGGATAAGACAAGGACCAGAATGTTCACATTCTGGACAAAGAAAATAGGTGGATCCGGTGTGAAGGAAGCCATTTATGTTAAGAAAAAAAAAACATCCCCAGCCCCTGTACAGCACAGCGGAGGACCTCGCCTATTCATTCAGGCCAACAATTCCCTTTAACAACCCCCTTTCAGAGACATAGACAGGTATGGGGTATTGTAGGATAACAAAAGAAGCCAAAACACCACCATTCCAAAGGGCTGAACCTGTTTGTCCGTCTCAATTTGCATGTTTTCAAAACAAAAAAAAAGGTTTTGATGGGCTACTGTATAAAACTCAAAGCTATTCCTGACATTTTGAACTGAAAACGCTTCCTGGATGGGAAGAGAAACATCTTCAAACTTGGAAACAAAGTCCAGTTGATAGTTTTTAATTTAGTTTTTTTGGTTTCACTTGCTGTTTCATGGTTTTTGTTTTGTTTTTATGAAAATGAAAATTTTCAAGAGATATAGTGTCCAATGTCATCATGTTGTAATGCCCTCCAATTGCTTTGGAGCATTTTAAAACCTGCTTAGCTTTGCTCCAACAGCAAACCTGAGAACCAGCTGGCTGCAGAGGTGTTCACTGTTAGCAATATGAATATCAAAGTGGAAACGCATTAAACCAGCGAGACACCTGTTCACTGACACTGGTGGTAGAGTCTGAAACTAACCAATGAGAAGCAGACAGTGAGAAATGTAGATGGGAAATATTTATTATAGAAACTTAAATTTAGGTTTAACCTCCTAATTCCTGCACTCGAAGTCGTCTTCCAGGGGCAACTACCTGTTTGTTGTTTTTTTTTTTTTTTTTTTTTACATTTAAAGCATTCAGACATTCTAATTCATGTGATAAATCAAATGCAGCTGAAAGTGAGAAAAGTGGGATTTACTTGTTATGCAGGCAAATAAATTAAAAACCTAATTCATCAACAATGTATTCCAATCGTTTTTACATCCAATCACTGCATCCATTTGTTTTCTGATCTATGTGGTTGATTTAATACAAATAAATATTAGTTTTTAAATTTTGCTTTTAAATTTGCTTTTAAATCATAAAGATTCCTTTTTGGTTGATAATAAGCTTTTTTTTTTATTTCTCCTTGTGTACAAATACCATCACTGCGAATAAGGCAATAAAAGTCTGAAGGAGGTGGAGGTGTTCTACTCAGATTAGCCCCATTACAGACTTTTAGTCTCAGACAGATTTTAAATCAGTTTCACAGATGCTCTGATTGTACGTAAGAAGGGAAAATTAAAGAACGGCTGGATGGTTGAAGACACATGATTGGCATGGAAATCACTGTCTTACTCAACATACTCACTTTAGTCCTGTGGGTGGAGCTTGGCAGGGCCAATGGGAGAGGGGACACAGTGCCATCTTTGGGTTTACGTAGGAGGCTGTTGTCATGGCTCCTGAACCCCAGGAATGACCCGTCCCTGGCTTCAGCTCGCTTCCTGGCACGCAGCGTGTTCCATGACAAAGACTTCCTGTGCAGCGCAGGAAGGACAAACATCAAGCAGCCAATTATATATTAGTACAGCTCTGTCCAGCTTAGTAGAGGCAACATCTGTCTGGTGAGAACAAGAGAAATCTGATGGCAGTAAAGGATTTCTGTCACTACGGCCTGCTGCCACAGGAGATAAAAATATAAATTTTGAAACTGATTGCTTTAAGGCAGGCATCCCCAAAGTCGGTCCTAGAGGGCCACTGTCCTGCAGGTTTCATAGCTTTCCCTGCTTCAGCACAGCTGAATATGATGAGTGCAGTTCAGCAAAACCCTGTTAATCAGCTTTCAATTAAAATCAACTGTGCTGGAGCAAGGAAACCTCTAAAATCTGCAGGACAATGGCCCTCAAGGACCGAATTTGGGGATGCCTGTTTGTTTTAAGGTTTTCCATATAGATTTTACTGATGGTACTGTACAGTAGCAGCCATTCAAAATGGCCCTTCCCCGTCAAAAGCCAGGCGAATGTCAGCCCACTTCTTTCCAACTCCCAGCAAAATCACCAACTTCCATTTACTGGACTCTTGTATATTTCTTAACTCTACAGGGTCTGACCAGGAGATGACGCTTCTCTTTTGATCTTAATGTTCATAAATCATGACAGAAAGAATATTTTAATTCAAAGATTGATGTTTAAAAAGGAATTGTAGGGGACCATCCAAGGACCCATCAAGGAAAATTTGGTACATTTTGAATGGCTACTACTGTAGTAGGGTTCAAGGACATCAGATAGTCAAAACAAACAAAAGTTTGGTTTAAAACATAAATGAAAAACCTTTCATAACAACTTTGTTTCCCTGGAATATGTTTTCTCTGTCACAGAAGAGATAACAGTGACTTCTCCTGTCAGTATTGGTTCCTGAATGAAGCTGTAGCTCCAGAGACCAGAGTCATGGAGGCTTCAGCGCTCAAAGACCAAGACTGAGCTGGACAGAGGGAGTCCTTAGAGATACAGAAGTCATTTACAGTTTAACCAGTACCATCATGCATGTATTATCTAGTTTTAAGGACAACAGTATCTCCTTTCCCTCCTCGTTTTTCTCTGGGTTTTGTGAATTCATGCTGGACCAGTATCCTAATGTCATCACTGGTTCTTCTTAATTCAAAGATAAAACCTTGCAACTTACCTCTTGGAGGATTTACTGTACGCCACAAGTATAAAGTTGTTCTTTTTTTATTTCACACATTTAAATTGAATAATATTTCAGTCAGAAGGAAAATAATAAATACATGAGACATATTCACAATGATTATTGAAGTCAAACTTGAACTCATTTATATCTGAATTAAATCTTTTGTTCAGTTTCTTTTTCTAAATAAAACCAACTGTCTCTTTAAAAGCCGCCATTTTTATTCCATCAAGTTTTGCAAAGATGGCAAGTTCTGCTGAAGATGCCACCAATCAGCTCATCTGCTCATGTTTTATTATAATGCAAGTTTGTTAAAGGAGGAGAAGCTGCTATAGGGAGCATGTTAAGGGATGTCAGCTATTCACCCCCGATGCTCTCTTCTCTACATCTGAAGCAATGCTGGATAATAATCCATGTACTGTAGCTTAAAGCAGATTCACCATCCGGCTTTGGAGGAAACATCTTTGAAGACATTTGTCTCAGAGCTAACAGTCTTAATTTTGAAATATCAAAATTGTGTTTCCTAGTTGATTTTAAGAAAGGTTCATGGTAGATTTTTTTATTGATTATAAAAGTTGATCTAAACCAGGTTATTGTCACTGGAAATGCTTAAAAGAGGACGGTCCTTGTTTGTCAGCGGTTCCAGAAAGCAGCTTGTTCTGCTCTGTGAGATTAAAGAGTGAAAATCTTACAAGTGTTTTTTGTTTTCAGTGGACATAAAATGAAGAAAACTTCTGTCCTGATCATCAGTTTAATGTTTTAAACTGCAGGTAATTTGGTCATCAGACTATTTTCTCTGCTCCCTGCTCTACAGTTCAGAGTTAAGATCAATATTTATTTTAGAGACATCAATTTGTTTTAACTTTGCTTCTGATAAGATGATGTACATTGTTGATTTTAAACATTCAAGGAGATCAGAAAATGCTGTGATCCCCAGAGCCTGGTTTACTTTTGGATCCTTAGATAGAAAACTGTGAATCAATTTGACTGGATGATCTGGTGAACTGGAAAGTGCCTTGAGATGACATGTGCTGTGAATTGGTGCTATATAAATAAACTGAATTGATTTGGATGTAATAATACGCTGCAAAACTTTAAATCTAAATAAGTATCTTTTTTTTTTCTTAAATTCTTAAAGACAATTTACATTAAAAAAATTCTTAAAAAGTATTGCATTGTCTTAATTCAAGTGCATATTATCTATTTATCTTATTCTAAGAGCAAAACTACTCACTCCATGGGCAGATCATCTTATTTACCTACTCAACTGAAAGGTAAGTACCTTTAATTTAAGACCTTTTTACTGATTTTTAGATCATTTTTGCAGTGTATCTCCTGTGGATGTTGCAGCTCTTGATGTCCAATCATCAGGCAGATGTTCAACAGGAAAAATCTAAATTCACATTTATCTTCTGCAAGTTTAAGCACCAATCATTCTGAGCCATTCAGGTCCTTAATAACATTTTAAAAACAAACCTTTCTATCAAATAGTAAAACCAAACATTCAGTGCATTGAAAGGTTTTGACTGAAAACAAATCTTAAATAAGTGTTGTGAAATTTTGCACAAATATCCTCAATAAGATCATGCATTTGAGTCGATATGAAAAGTTATTTAAATGGTGAGACCTTGTTCAGATCAACTTTAGACCGAGATCTACAGCAATTGGCAATAAGTGTGAAAACTGCTGTTGGTTAATGTTACCATGGTCAATGGTGTCTGTTAGAATGATAAACATCATATTAACACTCAGTAAAATGGCACCAGCCACCTTAGTTATGTGAGTTCTAATAAGCCAGCAATCCATCCTGTGCACAGTTAGTTGTTTTCTAAGATCTTATTTCCATTTTCACCTTATTTTATTTATTTTGTTATTTATTTGACCACGTATATACTTAGAAATGTTTTTTTTTTTTCTCCTTTCAAACAGTTTTACAGACTGCATTGTCTTAATTTCTAGGACATGCTCTCCTCTGGCGTGAGGAGCAAAGACATATTCCTGTTGGTCTGCAGGACGTTAGCAACATTTCTATCGGTAAAGAGTGAGCAACTCTTTTGGTGTTAAAGTGAAGAGAATGAAAACTGTAAAATGCATTTTAAAAGAATGCTAGTCCTAAAACTCAATCTAAAAAAGGGAAATTTAAGAAAGTAAAATTTTATATATAATAAAAATCTAAGAAAAAGTTTCCTTTAAAAACCTTTTTTTTTTTGTTTTCAGATTTCCAATCACAAAAAAAGCTCTTTGCTTGCAACGATAATGGAACAAAAGTCACACCACAGTCTCTTCATTTAACTGAGATATAAACGTAGCCATTGTTTTACCTCCTCTTTCAACCAAACACATTTTTTTAACTGTAAATTACAGAATATTTATAAGCCTAATAGTTCTTTTAGAATTGGTTGCAATAACTGTTTAGTAATCTGAACTTAAAAAGAACAACTAAACATTAAATCAAAATGTTTAATCTTTAAAGCTGACTCTTTGAAACAAAAATATTATTGTTGGAGTTATTATGATTTCTGTTGTTTTTATCATTTTATTCATTTATATCTTTTATATTGCTTTTAAATCATTTGTTTTTCTATAGTACTGTCAACAGTGGAAATATTGTATGCAGGTCATAAGACGGTCAAATGTTTTGCGAGAATGAAGCACAGAAGTTCCTGTTTTTCATTTGAGAAACATAGAAAGGGAAGTTCATGACCCCCGACACCTTTTGTAAAAGTGTATACTGAAACCAGACATGTTCCCTATCTTAAAAGTTCATGCTATGTCTAAGAGATTACGTAATCGAAATTAACACCTGCTGTTGTAATGTGTTGACTGCTGAATAAATAAGCCTGCAAGCGTGAAGCAAGACGAAGATGCACAGAGAGATCCCAAAGCTCTGTGTATTTTCCCTTTGCAAAGCCCAGTCAGGAAAAATCTTACACTGTCTTTGTTTATTTCTTCATAGGTTAAAGTTGGGGAAACTTAACAACCCTAACAATTATACACTTAAGATAACATTTTCATAGTTCCTCCTAATGTAGAAAAGTTGATTTAGTTGACTCCAATTTTTTTGAGTTAATCAGTTTCTGCTTAAGTTTTGACTTCAGTTATTCAGTTTGTAGTACAGCTTGTTCATTATGCTGTTCTTTTAAACAGTCACAGGTTTAAAAAGAAAATGTATTTATCTGTTGTTATTCGTGTTTTTAAAACGTTAAAAAGTATCCTAGAGTCTCTATAAACAACGGATCTTAGCCGCCATGCATTTAGGGGCCATTATTAAACATCTGTATTATTAACCATGTTGTGGAGCAAATTTAAACCAGTCTTAATGGAGCTTTACTTCAGCTCACTGAGGGGTTAAGAAATCTGGAACATTCCAGCATATTTCAGTCCCTCAGCTGTAGATTTGCTCATGCTTTCTGGACCATTGTCCATTAGATGTTTAGCTGCATTATGGTTGAATAATTGGTTCAGATCTTCAAACAAGTTGCAATATCAGAGAAAGACGATCCGAGTAAAAACACCAACGATTCATTTAAAGTGAACCGTTTTCACTAAAGTGCCTTAAAATTGCTCTAAAGATGCAAGAACGCTTTGATCAACACACCTTCTTAACTCTAACCTATAATATACACTGGACTGACTGACAGTTTCATCCTTATGCAACTTATATTGTCTGACCGTCAACCTCCTGACGGATGGCTGGAGTCTGTTCAATATTTAGACCCCCCCTCCCAAAGCTCTTTGTTCCTAAAGAAGACTAGAACAACTAGGAGCCAACCAGAGGTTGACCAGACTTTAAAAAAAAAGTTTTATTTCTTTTAATTTTACACAGTATTCGAGTTAAGATGGCATCCGCTTC